TCAATGCAACTGTTGTTGTGACTATATAAATAAAGTTGATTTGAATTGAATTACTGGTGACATCAATTTGGTCATGTCAATATTTCTGATTGTTTAAAGCAGCTAGTTTAATAAATACAGTGTAGACTTGCTGATATAATAACCACCTTCATGTGAAGCCAAATAAAGGAAAAGATCATCTGGATATGTTGAACTTGTTTTCCAGGAAGAAGATTAATTTCTTCTACAAACTCACCCATTGTCAGATTGAGAGTGTTGATTGGCTTGGTCTTCAAAATGGCCGCCTTAGAGTTGTTTGTTCCTGTCTGGGCGACATGACACTCATACGTTCCAATCTCAGCAAATGTCGCCTCCACTATATACAAAGACAATTGACCATTCCACATGTCTGTATGCAGCAGATATATGCGACTCGGAGAAGCTGACTTCTGAGTGTCTGGATCAGACGCATTGCTTTGGTAAAAAAATACATATTTTGAATCCAAGTAAGACCTGGTCCACATCACAGCCCCAATTGATATATCATTTGGAACGTGACATGGCAGAATGACATTATCTCCAGGAAAAATCTTGAGGGTTGTGGAGTCTGAAAGAGACAAAAAATACAACACAGACCAGTAAGCTGGAGTTACAGCTGATACCAAACAAACCAGAATACACTGCATGCTGAATATTAATACAATTACTGAGAATCACATGAGGAGAAACATTTAGAGAGAATCGGTTGCCCACGACACAGATAGAAATGAAATATAAATTTAAACCTTTTACATGTAAGAATCCATTAGATCAAGTAACACTGAAAAATATGTCTCCCTCCCTCAAACAGAAACTTCCTGCTCAGTTGTTTTTGTACACATGTTACATTGCAGCAAAAAAAAACCCTGAAATGTCTGGTTCCAGCAGTCTCCTGTCAAAAGCTTTTAGACCCAACATGATGTGTCTCAGATAGGATGAGTCACCCACTTCACCCCAAATCTACAGGTACCATTAGAGTTACCTGTACCTGAGCTGGACTGCAGTAAACATAGT